TAAGGATTCAGAATGGGGTAGAGGTGAAGATAAGATTGGTATTGATTTCGGCGTTGTCTCAAAAATCGAATGTTCAATGGAAGGTGTGGTAATGGTGCTTACCACCGGTATCGAAGCAAAATCACTGTGTTGCTTTGTAGAGAATATAGTAAAGGCTGAACTATTCATGTCGTATGCTGGGACTTCATTCTCGTAGGACTTGGACGGTTCTTCAGTATCCTTGTTGGAAAATACAGGGGAGGATATCGTTAGCGGAAGAGTGGAAGAAACTGGTTTGTCCGATTTACTCGCAATTTTTGTGTTTGCTTCACGGTAATCTATTACTGTAGAGGTTATCGCACTTTGAAGACTCGTGGTTTTATGTTCGCTCTCTGCAGAGTTTGTGAACTCTGGTGACTGTTCGTTGCTAGCGAATGCTGATCGAGTACTGGTCAATGTCGCTTCTGTGCTTGATGCACCAAAAAATTCAGAGCTGCTTCCTGTAAAATCCATTGCCATCATTTCAGACTCCGAGTTATCAGATTCCGCCATTTCAAAAGTAGTCGATATGGCAGCGGTTCCTCCTACAGACATATCTGGAATTGTAAATCCAATTTGCGGCATCGCCGAGATCTCCCTCTTTGAGTTTGCCGCGGTAGTTTCAGGCGTATAGGCGAATGTTTCCGTCAGTGGACCACCCTTTAACTTAGCAGTCGTAGAAAGTTCGATCCTATCTCGATATGTAGCAGATGCAGTTTGGCTTGTTTCAGCTACTGAGTTATCAATTGGTTCAAAGCTGCTTTCGATAACCATCTCCATCATTCTTTGAGACTCCGATTCCACCATTCCAGACGCGGTTGAATTGACAGAGGTTTCTGCTTGAGATATACCTGGGATTGTAAACCCAATTTGCGGCATCGCCGAGATCTCCCTCTCTGAGCTTTCCGCGGCTGTTTCAGGCGTATAGGCGAAGGTTTCCGTCAGTTGACCACCCTCTAAATTAGCAGTCGTAGGAAGTTCGATCCTATCTCGATATGTAGCAGATGCAGTTTGGCTTGTTTCAGCTAGTGAGCTATCAGTTGGTTCAAAGCTGTTTTTGGTAAAATCCATCTCCATCATTCTTTGTGACTTCGATTCCGCCATTTCAATTGTAGTTGAAATGACAGAGGTTTCTCCTTCAGCGTCCGTGGCTTTTGTATAATTGGAATGCTCTGCAGTTCTTGAGGAAGCACTGCTACGTGAGGCTGTCACAGCTCTTGCAATGTTAGAACTATGAGCTGATAGCCTATGCTGAGTTGAAAGCGGTGTCGATTTTACCCTTGATATGCTGAGACTTTCGCTAGATTTGAGGTCTGAAGATATCGAGTTGGAAGTATAGGAAGCAGAAGATCCCATATGTGCGTTTTGCTTGTTAGAACTAACATTTGAACTAGACGCAACTGACGACATTCTAGGTTTGGGCGAAAACGTACTCGTAGTCGCTCCATCAGTAATCAGTTCAGTCGAATAGGTGGAGCTTTTTAGATACTCGCTGGCAGGAGACAAGGATGATTCCTGAGAGGATTCTAATGTCCTTGATGTCATTTGTGATGTATCACCTCTTTCACCATCAGTAGTTTCAATATTTGCACTTGAAGCATGAACAGCTGGCTCAGGTTTAGTCGCAGTCACAAATTCGGCAGAGGATTTCTTATTTGTACTCAAAGACTTTTTCGGTAGGGAGTTTTTTGTCTCTGCATACGTTCTTATGGTAGGCATCGAGTGTGTAACCTCCTCATACTCCGTTTCTTCTGAAGTGATCAAATTTGCATCAGAATCAGATGAGCTTGTGCTAGCAGCTTCATCTCTAAGAGTATTAGTCATTGCTTTGTTCACTTTTTTTGATGACGTTGGAATTGTCCTTGGAACTGCAACATTTGAACTTAATGTCTTCTGAATTGGAGTGTGGACGGCAGTCGCGGCTGTTTCCTGCTTTTCTGTTGGTGAAACTGAACTCGTCGTTGTATTCAAGTTCTCGTAAGTGGTTGAATGATTTGAAGACTCATATACATGATTATAATTAGAGGTTTTCACATCTTTGCGTAGGGCTGTATGGTCAGTTGGTGTCTCAGAAAAGTTTTTTGTAGTGGTTGCCTCAGTAGGATAAGACTTTGAAAATGTTGTTGAAGAGAAATTTTGCTTACTAGTAGAAAAACCTTGCCTTTCTGTCCTCAAAATTGTAGTGAGAACTCCATGCCAATCTTGTTTTGAAGTTCGTATCGTTGTCATTGATGTACTGCTCCCTTCAGATGACACTAGGGCTGGTTCATTTTCATCATCATCTTCGTTTGGCGTGCTTTCAATCGATGCTGCCATGCTAATATATGCTGGATCTTTCGCACTCTCATTTAATGTTTCAAGAGAGCTCCGAGGGTTGGTGGTTTGAGCAAATCTCTGCTTTGATACCGTTAGGTCCTTTTCAGGCAGTGCAATACTTCTTTCGCTAGCAGGAGTCTGCTTAGATCCGGCAAGAGTTTTTGTGGCTTTTTTGCTACTCAAAGCAGACTCAACCATAGTGAAGAGCGTTGAATGCAGAGTGTTTGGAAGAGTGAATTTTGGCTCAGCAGTTGAAGATATTTCTCTTCTGTCGTAAAACTTTGTAGGGAACGAGAAATGTCTAGATGCTGTGTATTTTCCGTGGATAAATGTAGTTTTTAGGTCCGGCTTAGATTTGGAAGAAGAGAACTGGATAATGGCATTTTCGCTTCCATTTTTTGCACTGCTGCGCACAGTAGTAGAAGGCAAAAGTGTCCTCAAGCTAGTAAGTCCTTTTTTACTAGAACTGCGAGCGGTAGCCGTTGAACC